CCACCATCTGCTTGACCAACTATCCTTCCTCTAACAAAATCTGAAACTAATTATCTTGTGCTACAACATGCCTAGAACTCAAGGTTCTCTCGAATTGTTTGTGTTCACAGAGCATTATATAAATGAAAATGGTCCGCACTTAGCATAAATCAGTTAAATGACGAAAAATTAGGTGTATATTTACTTGTGACCACTCAGTGTATATACGTTTATGTATATACCGACTTATACCTGTCGCTTACTAAACAAAAACATAGTATCCTAATACAAAAGGCTTTCTAGCTCGCAGTATATAAATTAACTCATACAAATAAAAAAACAAAACAAAAACAGATTCAATTAGAGCAGTGTTTCTCAACCACTGATACGAAAGCAAAAACTGACAGAATATTCATACGTCAACCATAATGGGTTTTTGTATTTAGTGGTACGTGCCAGTTTAGGGAGGCAGTTGGCCTGCCCTTGTTATCGAAAAGGTTGATAAACACTGGATTCGAATATTTTGAAGTCCTATTATACTCCAAACTGATAAAAAAAATATATATATAAATCATAAAATTATATATCAGGGATGTTGCCACACCCGGGGGAGGGGTGGGGGGTGCGAAATGAGGGTCCGTGGAGTGCACAGATAAGGCCTATGCAAGGTTCGCTTTCCCCAAATGTCGCCTAGAGGTAATGTCTAATACACACTTTTTAGAGGAGGGCCACAAAAGGTTGGGAACCACTATATATGTATGTCTACCTTAATATATGCATCAAATATAACGATAATCAGCCAACCTTATCAATTTCTTATGAATATTTAACGGCTGAAAATCTTTTGATGGGAAGACAGAAAATAACTTTTCATAGGGTTGAACTTTATAAAGTGCTTGAAGACAACAATTTTTAAATAATTTTTTGTCCTTCTGTTTTTCGAGGTCTGTATAGCATGTATTGTTTAAAATCGTAAATGAGTTAAATGCTACTAGGTGGCGAAAGTGTTTGTTTTGAAGTGTAAGACTAGAGGGAAGGCAGCTAGTCATCACCACCCACCGCTAACTCTTGGGCTAATCTGTTACCAACGAATAGTGGGATTGACCGTCACATTATAACGCTCCTACGGCTGAAGGGGCGAGCATGTTTGGTGGGACGAGGATTCGAACCCGCGACCCTCAGATTGCGAGTCGAGCGCTCTAACCACCTGGCCATGTCGGGCCAGCGAAAGTGCATATACACAGATAGGAGTATGAGTGAGTGGCACAATTTTACTTGCTTTTGCTGTTTCAATATCTTTGTTGTCTTTTACCGTATCTTTTAGGCATATTTTTTAAATTATTGGTGTCGGTATAAAATATGTAGCTACTCGAAGTGAAATGAAGATTTATAGAATATTTAAACTTTTTTTTTTATGTTTTACTACATAGACAGATATGTGAAGACAAAAATGTCACTTTACATTATTAATCTTATAAAAACTATTATATTCCCTTCAATAAATGGAAACATAAGTTACAACATGATTCTACTCTGAAAATACAAAATGTTCTAAAAAGCTGAAGGATTAGCAATAAAATCATCAGTTTTATTTAATTAAGCAACGTCTATCGAGACCTGATAAAGGTAAACGTTGACCAAGTTAATAGTAGGTAATTACACGATACCATGCAAAGTAATCTAAAATAAAGTTTACATCCACTAATACGACACAACAACAAAGTCGCATGGATACAAGTTTCGTCTCTTCAGTATAACTTGTTCGTGAAAATTTTTTCAGATTCGTGTCCACGAAGGAACAAAAAATATTTTCAAGAACTATCTAGAAACTGGCCTTCTCTACAGAAAGTGCAAAGCACTACTCTACGCTGTAAGATGAAAAAATTATAGCGACAATTTCTGATAAACTGTTTGAAGAATGTAATTGTCCCTCGGACCTTACAACAGAACCTATGTTCAAAATACTGTCGTTACGCAACCTGGAAACATCAATTTTCAACCCAGCCAATCGGAAAGATGAAGTTAGAAACTAATGGAGCCTTTTAGAATATTTGGACGCAAATTGAAGAACATACTTCTACAGTCCAAAGAAAACATTTGCGCAGGACATTAAAGACTTTTATTGTAAGGAAATTAAAGTACGACAGGGTAAGGCTTCAAACTGAATTTGATAAACTGTTAAAATATTTTTTTTCTCCATTTTAGTAGATATTGATGCTTGTTGGATGAAGTTTTCACTTTTTGCCCATCTCAGGCATGATGAGTTGATCACAGTTTGAGATGCAGTGACGTAGCTAGTTGATTGTTCAGCTTAGATTGTAGTTTACAAAGTAGGAGTGCTTCCCTTTTTATTAGCGCTAAGAAAATATCAGATTTTAACAAATCTCTTCGAATAATTCTAGCTGGTTATCAGGATCTCTTAAAAATATCTTAATGAATCAGTTTCTTTCTGTCATGTATAAACGGCTTGCTAAAACACATAGAGATGTCTACTTAGACCTATAATCGTCAGTGTAAGGTTAATTACTTACTCGGTATCCTGCTCTATGAAAGTCCTCATCGTTAAATATTCTGAATAATATAGATTTCGCAAAAAAAATAAAAAGCCCTAACATAAATTGAGGATAGATGGTAAGTTGTGGAGTAGATTATTTGTTTAAAACGTATCAATCGACGAAACAATAAACTTTCTGAAAAGAAAATTACCTGAACTTAACGTTTAGCTTACTGTGCCGGTATACGCTATCTCCCTAGTAGAAGTATGTGTTGAGAAAAATGTAATTACTCGCATGAGACAATATTACAGACAAAAATATGGAATGGCTATGCGTAACCGTTTATCCCCAATTCTATGTAACATCTTCATCTAGTATTTTGAAAGTGAATTACTTCCTACAGTGGATCTGAATACAAGGAAATCCACTGAGTCGGATATGTTAATAACATACTTTCTGATTGGCCAAACAAATGGAATGATTTTCAAGCCATTTTGAAAAGATTAACAAGCTTCACGGTACTATTTTACATTAATTCATCATAAAGGGCCGTGTGATGACAAAATGTATAAGTTCTTAAAAAACATTGTATTTATAATTGATGTTTAACCATTTTATGGCACGTAAAAAATACGAATGTACCTTAGAGAGTTTGTTGGTTTTTTATAGATAGAAATAACAAGTCCTGTTTATGCTCTTGTTAGGAAAATATCTAAAAATGTAAGTGAATTATTTGTTTCCTATTCCACTTTAGAATTAATTATTCATACATTTTTTGAATGACATCAGTAACCTATAGGTTTTATCAGAAGGCAAGGGGAACACTCTTTAGGAACAGCAACAAGCATAATCTACGTGTTAAAATAAAATAAAATACTTAGAGTTAACTACAGTTCTAGTATTGTGGCTCTAGAAAAAATGTCTGAAAAATAATAACTTCAAATGTTAAAGAAAAGGATAGAAACTTGGATACCAGACTCTTAGA